CTCGGGATTATTCTTGTCCAAGAAGTGGCCGGTGCCTGCAGCTGGCCATCTGCCTTCGCCTGGACACAGCTCTGGGGCCATGGGACCTCTCCCAGGATGGGCATGTGAGGGGCTGCTCGTTCTGACCTTGGTCAGATTGTAACAGGGGTGGGATGGAAATGAGGATGGAGATGGTTGGGTTGGGTTTGGGGTTGGGGTTGGGGAAGGGATGGAGACAGAAATAAGGATTGAGTTTGGGTTGAGGATAGAGATGGAGGTAGAGATGGGGATGGGGAAGGGAATAGAAATGGAGATAGGACTAGAAAGGGGGAGGGGATGGAGGTAGAGAAGGAAATAGAGAGGAGATGAGATAGAGGTGAGGATGGAGATGAGGATGAAGTTGGGGACGGGATATAGTTGGTAAGACTAAGAGTGAAGGAAGGCTGCAGACGACAATCCTACAAAGCAGAGGGTTGAGGGGGAAAGAATGCTGTTCGTAATCAAAGGGGAAGACAAGAAGGAGGGGAAAGGCTGATAGTGACGTGGGGGAGCACCCACAAGCAGTCGGGGACCCCAGGTGTCAGCAGCCCCCTGACCACCGGCCCTCAGAGCCCTGCCCAGCGATATGCAGAGCGACATGTTTCCAGGCCACAGGGCCTGAGGAAGGCGTTGCCGGGAGCAGTGCGGGGAGCCTGGGCTGTCCGTGCTGATATTCGCAGCTCTGCCGTGTCATTGTCCATACAACTAAAATCTGTTATTGTCTTATGAGCTTGATTAACTGTACATATTGCTAACACCTGCTCGGAAATATAACGAGGGATGGGAACATGGCTCCCAATCAGGTTCTGTGTGGGTGGTGTGCGTGACTAGGGTGCAGATCTCCAGAATGGGGATGTGTATGCACGCAGATGTGTGTGTGTGTGTGTGTGTGTGTGTGTGTGTGTGTGTGTGTGTTGGGGGAGGGGGCACACCAGTGCTGTGCAAAGAACCCTGGCCTGCGTTTGTAACACCAGGGGCCAGTCCAGGCTTTGCCATGGGCTTACACTGTGACCAGGCAGATGGCCCCTCTCTCTGACCTCAGTTTGCTGACCTGTAAATGGGAGGATGACCTAGGGCTACACAATAGAAATATACACCGAGTGGCCAGATTATCATGATTTCTGAACTCATAATAATCTGTCCACTCAGTATATATATATAAAAGGCCCAGTGCACGAATTACGCATGAGTGGGGTCCAGCCGGCCTGGCTAGGGGGAGGGGACATGAGCAGTTGGCCAGTCTGCCTTCTAGTCTAACTCTTGATTGAGGGGACAATTTGCATATTAGCCTTTTATTATATAGGATATACACTGAGTGTCCAGATTATTGTGCGTTCAGAAATCATCATAATCTGGCCACTCAGTGTAGTGCCAGCCACATATATGATTGTACATTTTCCAATAACAGCGCTGAGAAAACCTGTGAAGGTGAGATTATTTTTAGTAATATATTTACTAAGTTCAACATAGCCCAGGTGTTATTTCAACAGGTACCCAGTATAAAATATTCATAATGTATTTAACATTCCTTTAAGACCGTCTTCAAAATTCCATGCGTGTTTTACCCCTACAGCCCGTTTGAACTTGAAAAGGTCACAGATGCGTGCTCAGAGCCACATGGGGCCGGTGATGACTGTATGGGACAGGACCAGGCCAGGGCATTCTCTGATCTCTTCATCGAACTGTGGGTGCCCCAAAGCGGGGGACCAGTTTGTTCTCCCAGTCAGCGGCAAGGAGCCCGGAGAAAGGATGTCCATAAATAATATTGTAATAAACACAGCTGGCATGGGTTGGGTGCACGGTGAAAACACTCTCAGGCACTCCTTCATTGGATCCTCGAAGGTGCCCTATAATTGCATTCTGTGTGTAAGGAAATCAAGGTTCAGAGAGGTTAGGTAACACGCCAAGGTCATGGAGCCGGGGAGTGGTCCCCTGGTCTTTGAACTCTGGGTGGTGGGGTTTAGAGCCCACACTCTTAACCATTGCCCCAGACCACCTCCCTGCATTACAACTAACATGCGTTAACATTGCTGAATTGCCTGGCAGACTTCCTGTGTCAGCATCATCTCAGGTACTCCTCAAGCCATCCCACGAGGAAGGTTCTAGGTGCCTGCTTCCCGTTTGCTCAATGAAAGCGAGGGAGGACGAATGAGTGATTTTGAAGGTGCCCGCTGCCTAGCTCTGAGCCTCTAAGAATCCTGGGGGGTGTACTTACGCCTCACATACACCAGCAGGAGCGTGTCAGAGCTCTGTGCCAGACTCTACTTGGCATGGTCCCTTAATCTTTGGGGCAAACGAGATAAGCAGAGCCACCCTCAGAAGCAGTTCTCAAGAGATCCAGCTTTCAGGCATCCCTGGAAGTGGAGAGGTGCAAGATGGATGTGTGTTCCCGGCGGCTCACATGCGTACTTGGGGCTCGGGTGCCCATGGGTCTGGCTCCTTCCTTCTTTCCGAAGGCCTGGTGGCACAGCTTCACGTCCATGTTCAGGCCCTGAAGCGGGGGCCCGTGGGTTCAAATCCTGACTCCGTAAACTCAGGCAAGTTGCTGCACCTCTCACCTTTTCTCATCTGAAAATGGGAATACATACCCTCACCTCCTAGACCCCAGGTCGGCAAACTATGGCTCAAGAGCCACATGCGGCTCTTTGGCCCCTTGAGTGTGGCTCTTCCACCAAAGACCACAGCCTGGGTGAATCTATGTTGAAGAAGTTTAAATTTTAAAAATTTGGCTCTCAAAAGAAATTCCAAGCGTTGTACTGTTGATATTTGGCTCTGTTGACGAATGAGTTTGCCGACCGCTGGCCCAGACTAATGGTGAGGATTAAGTGAATGAACGCGGGCAAGGGCTTGGAAGGGCTTCTGGCTCATCAGCGTGAGCCGCCGCTGGCGCTTGCTGCGGGATGCAGGTTTGCAGGGTAGTTTTGGAAACATTAGATTGCGGAATCTGCGACTTCTGGGTAATTGAAGTGTTCGGATGCGTTCTTCCCCCTCGGAGTTCCTACCCACTTACCATCTGCTTCCTCCCATCTTACACTTAATTACAATTCTCCGCCTATTGTTCTCCCATTGTCTCCCGCTTCTCCACGTCCCCCGCTGACAGCACACGGCGGCTGCCCGGATGAATGAACGGGCATACCTGGCTCCGTTTCCCGGGGCCTTAAAATAGAGCTGCCGGGGCGGCTGTCGTCCCCGCCAGCCGGTGCGCTCCTTGTCCCGGTGTCTGCTTCATTGCTGGGCGCCCGCCGCGAGCACCTGGCACCGTGCCCTGCACCTAGTAGGTGTCGGGAAATGTTTGTCGAATTTAATTAAACTCAACTGGGGTGGAAACCCCCTGCCGGAAGGAAAGGCCCGCACCTCTTCATTTCCTCGGCTCCCCCCACCCCTGCTCAGGGCCGAGGCTGGATGAGCCAGAACTGACTGACTTTCCCCAGCGAAGTCCTGAGAGTGTGGCTTTGGGGCTAATTACAGGAGTTGGGAAAGTAACTGGAGGAATCTCAGCATAGGTTACCCTGCCACGTGCTAAGTAAGCCCTGTTTTATTGATTAGCTGGTTCTTCAAATACAGCTGCGGAGGATGATTCCCATTTCATAAACTGGGGAACTGAGGCACACAGGTGTCTTTTGTTTTGTTTTGTTTTTAATATATTAATATATTTTTATTGATTTCAGAGAGGAAGGGAGAGGGAGAGAGAGATAAAAACATCAATGATGAGAAAACCATTGATCGACTGCCTCCTGCACAGCCCCCTCTGGGGATCAAGCCCACAACCTGGGCATGTGCCCTGACCAGGAATTAAACTGTAACCTCCAGGGTCATAGGTTCACGCTCAACCATGAAGCCACGCTGAGAGGACCGGAAGCTCGCTTGCCCAAGGACATGGAGGGGATGCTGGCGTGGCTGGGACTTGGACCCAGGTGTACCCAATGGCTCCATGTGCACTCATCCCAACCCCCACAGCGCCCGGAGCCCTGGCTTTGGCACAGCGGCCGGTGGCAGCTGGTGAGGAGAGCTGGAGGGAGGCAGGATAAAGCACAACCGGCCGGCCCCAGAATAAAGCCTCCCAGTGCCTGTCAGAGCCAGCCCCTTCTTCCCTCTGCCCTTGCCGTGGACAAAGCTACCTCTCCAGCCTAAATTCTGCTTCTAGTCTCTTCACAATGCAACACAGATCATGTCGCTGCTCTTGTCTAAAACCTTCCGTGGCTCCCCACTGCTCTCAGAACCAAGAAGAACAGCTCGGGCCCAGGGAGCTGCCCTAAACCCCTCTCCGGCGGCTGGAGCAGGGAAGGAGCACACAGCAAGGAAGGCCTGCTCTGCAGCTGTGGCTGAGCTCCACGGGGCAGAGGTGCCCTCTGTGGCCCTTTTAAGCTGGGCGCCGTTTAACCACCGGCTCCCAGAATTCCTGACAGTGCCACAGTGGGCTCTCCTGCGGCTGCGGGAACCTGAGCCAAGGAGGGTGACCGGCCACCAGCCCCCTGGTCAGTGCCCAGCACCTGCCCCCAGTCCTGGCACGTTCCCCTGGCTCCTTGAGCTGCCATCACAGCGGCCTGCTTCCCATCCCTCCTGATGCCCCCACCACCATCACCACCAACAACAACAACCTGCCCCAGGCTTTTGCACATGCTGTTCCCTCCAGCTGTCATGCTTGTCCCACACATGTGACTGCCTCAGGGCCAGCGCAGCGCCAGTCCCTCGGGCTGGGACAGTGCCACTTTACGCTCCGTTCACCTCCCGGGGCCTGGGACACTTGCCTTCACTAAGTGCCCTCTTGATTTGGGCTCTCATCCGTGGACAGGGCCCTCTGTACCCCAGCAGGGACAACCTTCTCGCTGGGGTTGGTGACAGTGGCACCCTCTGGTCGGGCACCATTTGCCCCCAGCCCTGCCCAGCACTCCGCATGAGGCCTGGCCCATCTGAGGTGAGCAGTGGATTCTTCCAGAATCTCCCAGCTAAGCCTTTTTCTTTCTGTGCTTCCTTCCTGCTAGCTCCTCCTACCTCCATCGAAGTGGTGGCTGCGGACACGCCAGCCCCCTTCAACCGCTACCAGGCCCAGAACTTCACGCTGGTCTGCATCGTGTCCGGAGGGAAGCCGGCGCCCATGGTGAGTGCCCCTGGGACCGCCCTCCCCGAACCGGCTCAGCTGCGTCATGCCCGGGAGAGGGCTGAAAAGTGAACTCTGCCACATCCGCCCTGGTCTGACCCTGCCCACTCACTCCGCCGACCGCCTCTCCTGCTCCCAGCCTCTCAGCATGGGGAACCCCACTTTTGCTGGACCCTGGGATCCTTGAACTACACAGTGGGAGCAGTTTTTAGGGGATCCCAGCATCGTGCTCACCCCAGTTATTGAGCAGGATGCAGACGCATGAGGCCCAGAGAGGAGAAGGGACTTCTCAGACTTACCCATGGTGTTTGTGGAGAGAGGTTGCAGAAGGAAGGAGGAGATAGGGAGGGAGACAGGAGGAAGGAAGGACGGAGGAGGGAGGAAGGAAGGAGGGAAGGTAGGAGAGGGAGTCCCTGTGTGGGCCAGCCTCCTCCTGCAGCCACCCTAACTGCGCTCAGGGCTCGGTCCAGCACCGGAGCTGTTGGCACGCTGATGCACCAGGGATGGAGGGAGCCACCGCTGAGAGCTGGCTCCAGCCGGCCTGCACACACGCTGAGTGACCCTGAGCAAGAGGAGCTCCCCTTGCTCACTCCCTCTCTCTTCCTCTCTGTAAAAACAAAACAAAACAAAACAAAACAAAACAAAACAACAATAAAATATATTTTTTTAAAAACAAAAAACTGTGCTCCCGAGTGGACCTTCAAAGCCAGCACTGGCGGGAGCAGGACATGGCCCCACATTTCCCCTGTGGAGCCCATACAGAGGCCTGGTTCCCTAAAATCAAGTCGGTCTTTTTCTCCAAAGAAAAACTCAGTTTTCCGAAGGGCCTAAAGGAAGTCTCGCAGCACCCCTCCCCCCGCCTGCCTGCTCCTGCCAGTTAAGACCCAGCACTAAAACATCCCAATATAGAGAGTAAAAACATATATACACATATTCCTCATCCTACGTTTGCCTGGAAGGTCAGAATTTGAAAGAATCCTTTGATATAAATAACAAATGTGCTCCTGAAGCACTTTTCAAAAAAAGAAAGAGAGGAAAAACCCAAATCAGCCCATTATGTGCGCAGGAGATTCTTCCTTGGCGCTATAAACTCTGACAGATTCTCTGCGCTGCACATTCCACTTCCTCCCCCGCCTCTCCCTCCTCCCCCTCCTCCTGTCTCTCCTCAGGCATCCCTCTCCTCCCCTCCCCCTCCTCCTTCCCTCCCTCCTCCTCCTCTTCCCCCTTCACCTGCATCAGCATCCTGAAAGCTGCTTCCGTCCCTCCGCTCTCCCTGTCTCCCATCTATTTATTTATCTGATTTATTAAAAATACACCCAATCCCCACAGGCCTCTGGGCACCTGTACAAAAATAAAAAGACGGCAAATTAAATCAAATGCCGCCTCTCTAAACTGGAATTCCTCACGAGCGGAGAAAGCGGGAAGATGGCCCCCTTCGCCTCCTCCCACACACGGAGCTCCCTCCCCCCCACCCCCCTACACACACACCTGCTCTCTGCCTCCTCTAAAACTGCAGAGGGACCACACGCACAGGCATCCTTTCCTCACCCTTCCCTTGTCTCCTTTCATCTCAGCACCCTTGCCTGCTCTCCCATCTTCTTGCTCTCCCCAGGTGGGCACAGACCACCCCTTGGGCTGCCCAGGGCCCTTCTGTCCGCTGTTTCCAGGCACCCCACACCCCATGGAGTAGGGAAACTGTGGCTGGGGAAGTGCTAGGGATGGGCACAGCCTCTGCCCCCGGACCAGCCGGCTCCATCTCGGGTGCTGGAGGGAAAGGAACAAGGAGGTCCATCAGAAGGTTACCAGGCGGAGGAGGCTCCGGAAGGACCAGCCGCTTGCGGCCACACCTTCTTAGACCCCAGCGGGAGGCCAAGGTCATAGGCACAAAATCTTTTCCTTGGAATTTCAGGTTTATTTCAAAAGAGATGGGGAACCGATCGACGCAGTGACGCTGGCAGAGCCGCCGGTGGCCAGCTCCGGGCCCCTCCGGGACAGCAGGCCCTTCCGCAGCCTCCTGCACCGAGACCTGGACGACACCAAGGTGCAGAGGTCGCTGTCCCTGATGGACACTGAGAACCGGGGCGGGCGTCCCTCCACGGAGCGCCCCTCCCTCGGCCTGACCCCGGACCCCAGCGTCCTCCTCCAGCCGACCACCGAGAACGTCCCAGAGACGGTGGTGAGCCGCGAGTTCCCCCGCTGGGTCCACAGCTCCGAGCCCGTGTACTTCCTGCGCCACAGCCACAGCCCGGGCAGCGACGGCACCGTGGAGGTGCGTGCCCTGCTCACCTGGACGCTCAACCCGCAGATCGACAACGAAGCCCTCTTCAGCTGTGAGGTCAAGCACCCTGCGCTGTCCATGCCCATGCAGGCAGAGGTCACGCTGGGTGAGTACGGTGTGGGGTGCAGGCCCCCTGCAGAGCTGGGGGTGGGGAAGCCTTGGAGTAGGGCCCTGGGCTGCTGGCCATCACAGAGTCAGACGCACTCAGGGTCAGGCACAGAGGTCAAAGTCTGCGTCCGCAAGGAGCTTTACTGAGCTGGAGAGGAGAGCATGGGAGATTTAGCTAGGCCAGCAGAGGTCGCTGGATAAGGTCAGGACACGAGAGGTCACGGGAGTTTGGTCCATCAGGATCAATAGGCATCCGTGTTAGAAAACACGCAAGGCCTTTGCCCTGGACGGTGCGGCTTAGTTGGTTGAGCATCATCCCTTGCACCGAACGGTCGTCGGTTTGATTCCCAGTCAGAGCAGGTGCCCAGGTTGCCAGTTCAGTCCCTAGTCCGGGTTCCTGCAAGAGGCCACCGCTCCATATTGATGTTTCTCTCTCACATGGATCTCTCTCTCTCTCTCTCTCTCCCTCTCTCTCTCTCTCTCTCTTTCTCTTCCTTTCTCTCAAATCAATAAAAACATTTTTTAAAAACCATGGAAGGTTTTCAAGGTTGAAATGGACCGTGGAAAGCATAGGGAGATTTGCTGGGTGCGTGAAGAGCACAGGGACTTCTTCAGGGACAGTTGCTGAGTCGGGTCACAGGAAGGTCAGGGAGGGTTTTTCCATCACAGTTGGGAACACGGGAGGCGACAGAGGTCTTCTGTATGAAATAAGACCCATTCGCTCAGGGGACAGAGGTTTTCTGCATGGAATGGAAGGCCCATTACCTCAGGGGCAGTTGGTAGGTAAGGGTTGTTGACAAAGCAGGCCCGAGACTGGGGAATCAGGGTCCCTTTGTTGGCTAGTTTGCCCAGGCCCAAGCCTGGAGCGAGGAGATGGGCCTTTAGAAAACAGGGCCCTGAGGAATCTGACCCGGAAGCATAAGGTGTCTGCTTTGACCTTCAGGGGTTCAGGCCTCTCCTGGACATGGGCGCCCTGCCCTGCCCTCTGCTGGCCGCAGCCCGACAGTGCTGCCCCAGCAGGACAGCGAGAGCAGACAGAGTACCCAGGGCCGCACTGCCTGCCCCACGAAGTGCTTCCCACCTGCTAATGACCTACAGAGTGTGAATTAAGAAGGCGGAAAGTGACTTGAGCCCCCTAAGCTTCCATCTCCTTGGGACAATCTTGAAAGGTCATGAAGTTCAATGAGGTCATGCACACAAGGAGTGAACTCGATGCCCCGCGCTTCATGTGCCTGACAGATCTTGACCCTCAGATCACTACCTCCTGATTTTCCTAACATCCCGGGCAGGGTGGACACTGGCCATTACCACTGTTCCCATTTGCTCAGGGGAAATGCCAGGTGGTGTGCCTGGGCCAAGGCTCACAAAATAGAGCAGAACTTGCTCTCCGACTCCCGGGCCAGGAGTCCCCTTGCTCCTGTGGATACAGACTCAGAAACCAACCACAGGCCTTCCCTGCCCTTCCCGCCTCGAAGCAGGCCCAGCTCTTCCCAAAGAGGCTCCGGCCGCCCCCTGGGGCACCTCCGATGTCTTGCTTGTGATTTAATTAACAGCCCTTTGGAGACCACCCGCATCGCCCGCTGCTCTGATTTCGCTAGGAGCCTCTGAGTGGGAAGGAGAGGCTAGGCGAGCAGGCAAGGGCAGAGCGGGGAGGTCCCAGAGCTTTCTCCTCCAACTCCTCTGTGAGGTGTTCACAGAGAGTGGCCCAGGCCGGGCACTCTGGTCAGAACACTATGGACCAGGAGGCTGCCGAATCTGTCCCCAGCTCCCATCCCACCCTCCTGACCCCCTGACCATCTGCCTCAGCGCCACCCCCTGACTGTCCCCTCTGCCTGGAACCCTCCTCAGGGCCTTCCCATTCTTGTCTGTGTACTTGTTTGCAACTAAATGGCAAGCTCAAGTCAGCAGGCCCTTGGTTTGTTCACCGCTGTGCCTAGCCCTGCACCACAGCCTGGCACGGGGTTGGCTCAATAATTGCTTGTTGAAAGGATGAGTGAGTGACTGTGGGGCAGAGTCCTGGCCTGGAAGTGAGGGAATGTGGAAAGCTGGCTCCGTGTGACCCCTTTGTTACCCATGGGCCTCGGCTTCCCCATCTGAAACCTGAGGGGATGGACCATGTGATCCCAGTGGCTCGTCCACCCTGATGTTGCCTGCCCTGGGCACCTGTCTCCCACGCCCAGAGTGCAGGGGGCTTTGGAGAAGTGACACAGGGCGTAAGGAAGAGGGGCAGGGAGGACCGAGACCCGGGATCCCCCCCACCTTGTCCACTGAGGCAGAGACCATGTTATGTGAACTGTTGGATCCCCAGCTCCCAGCCAGGTTGGACTCATCGCAGGGGCTCAGGGAATGTGTGTGAATGAATGCAGGCAGACTTGAATGAATAAATGAATGAATGAATGAATGATGAGCATCCTAGAACTGGACTAGAACTGGACTGGCACCTTCTCCTCCATTTCTCTGCCCCTGCTTTCCTTGCTCAGTCTCTTCCTCCACCACATACACACACACACACACACACACACACACACACACATCTCTGACCTGGCCTTCCTCTCCCTACAGTTGCCCCTAAAGGACCCAAAATCGTGATGACGCCCAGCAGAGCCCGGGTCGGGGACACAGTGAGGATTCTGGTCCACGGATTCCAGGTCGGCCTCTCTCTGAGCCCCTGTGGGGTGTGGGAGATGGGAACGGCCCCAGCTCAGGCCCTAGGCTCCCGGGCAGCAGCTCTGAGACCCTCCCCTCCACATCCAGCCCAGCCGGTGGGCCTCAGTCTGCTGCTCTGTCTGCTAATTCGATGAGAAGGGGCAAGAGGTTCCTGAGTCTTTGCTTACCCACCCAGAGCCCGGGATAAACATCCCTCGTGGACCTGACCTTCTTTCCAGCCCTAAGTCCTCCTCTGCCTGGTGTTGCAGAAAGCCCCTCTGAATCCACCGATAAGCCTGTGTCCCCAGGCATGGCCGGGCCGTGACCCTGACCCCTTGCTGCTCTGGCATAATGGCTTCTCCTGTGACCAGACCTTCCCCTGCTCTGGCCAACAGAACGAGGTCTTCCCGGAGCCCCTGTTCACATGGACGCGGGTCGGGAGCCGCCTCCTGGACGGCAGCACCGAGTTCGACGGGAGGGAGCTGGTGCTGGAGCGGGTTCCCGCCGAGCTCAACGGCTCCATGTACCGCTGCACAGCCCAGAACCCGCTGGGCTCCACTGACACGCACACCCGGCTCATCGTGTTCGGTATGCGGCGCCCGACTGGGGCTTGGGGGGGGGACCACCCAGGGCTCTGGCGGACACTACCCCGAGGAGGAGGGAACAGCAAGGGCCTGAACCCCACAGGGCGGCACTGGGGTTCAGCCGTTACCCTAGGTCCACCACTTCGCAGCTGGGCAACCTTGGGCAAAGGACATAACTTTCCTCAGTTTCTCCATCTGTACAATGGGTTGCCACCTCCAGCCCACAGGGGTGTGTCTGCACCAAGACAGTACGTGAAACAACACGGGAGGTGTGGGCTAGAGGAGCGCTCCTTGACTACACTCCGAAGACATCCGTTCTCTAGTTCTTTCTCTGTTCCTTCCCACAGAAAACCCAAATATCCCAAGAGGAACGGAGGACTCCAATGGTAAGTCTCCATTCAGAGCTCCTTGCTGGAAAGTGTGATTTTCAAGGCTGGAAGCTCTAGTCCCCAAACCTCCCATTGCCTACCCCACCCCCTCCAGCCTTGGCCTCTAGTTCACAGAGTCTGGTCAGAGGGTCAGGAGTGGGCCCTGAGGCAGTAAAGGGGACTTGGCACCCAAAGTAGTGGCAGGGATTTCCAGTGACTACGTGTGTCCAGCACCATCCACAGCAAGCAACTCCAGTTTTGTTTTTTTTAAATATCCTCCGGTAAGAAATCCCTTCTTACCGGAGGATATTTTTCCCATTGATTCTCTAGAGAGAGAGGAAGGGAGGGATAAGAGGGAGAGAGAGAGAGGGATACATTGCCATGAGAGAGACACATCGTTTGTTTGCCTTCTGCTCACACCCCAACCAGGGCCAGGGATCCAATCTGCAACTGAGGTGCATACCTTTGGCCAGGAATTGAATCAGTGACCCTTCAGACCACTGGCTGACCCTCTAACCATTGAGCAAACTGGCCAGGGCAGCGACTCCAGTGTTTTTAGCTGAGAGCTCAACTTCCTGATCCCAAGGACACATGTCCAGCATTGACAATGGGGCTGTGTCTGGGACATGGGACCACTCTGTAGGGGAGTTGGGAGCACAGACAGCAGGCTCTGCTGGGGCCCTTCAGACTGCCCTCCCCATGATTCCCCCAATCTGGGCACCACCCCAAGGGACCCAGGCACTGCTCCCAAGCCACCAGCTCTCCTGTCCCTACACTGGGCCCATATCACAATTCAAAATGGGGCCCCCAGTCCTGGTCCCCACTGGAGGGCCCTGATGGCCACCAGGGAGCCTGGCCTCAGCCCAGCAGGCCAGGGCAGTGAGGGGGGTCACCTCAGATGGGACAGGTGGCCGAGCTGGGATCGGATGCAGAAGTCCAGACTCTGCTGGGCCCTGTGAGTCTCCGCCGCTCCCAGGCTCCCTCAGTAGGCGCCGCGGTGGGCCTGCTGGCTCTGACCTGCTCCCTGCGCCCGGCACAGGTTCCGCCTCTGGCCCTGCTGGTGTCCGGCTCATCCTGGTGCTCGCCCTGACAGTGCTCCTGGAGCTGACGTGAAGGCCCAGCCACTCCGCCCGGCACTGACACCTCTGCGATCGCTTTTCCTTTCTTTTCTAAACTATTTCCAGTCTTGTTCTTAGTCTCTTTCTGTCTGTGTCTTGGCTTCTTCGGTCGGTTTAATTAAAACAAACAGAACGATTTTCCCCACCTGGGTCTTTGGCTCTGCGTTCTTCATTTGTTCTGTCACGGCAACTGGGTGCCTCCTGGCCTCCAGCATGGGGACAGGCACTGGGGTGGAGGGAGGTGACGAAGGAGACGGAGCATGCTCCTCCCGGGATGAGGGGTGGAGAGGCAGCTCAGGCTCATGCATATCCTAACATCCAGGTGTGGGGAGTAGCCAGAGACGTTCAGGAAATTAAAGGTTCCTCGGGACCAAGTGTAATGGTCAGCTATTGCCACAATAATGCTGCCTAACAAACCAACCCACATCTCAGTAGCCTGCAACAACGAACATGTCTGGTTATATTCCTATTCAGGATGAAGTGGTGAAGCTGATCCAGTCTGGGCTCAGTGGACACCTCTGCTTCAGGTGACAGAATATTCTAAATTCCTGTGGTTCCGAAATTCCTGGCTAGCCTCCAGGCTGTGGCTTGAGCTCTAGTCTCCTCCAAGGGTGTTTGCTCTGGGGCTTAGGCTAAAGGTGAGGTGGCTCTCTGACCTTTGGCCATTCAATGGTAGATCACCAAAGCGGGAGAAATAAACCACACTATGCAGCCACCATGAAAGCATCTGCCTGTCATGTCCATGACCTTTAGCCAAAGCAAGTCACATGGCCAAGGCCAATGTCAGTCAATCAAGGTCACATGTAAGTCAGGGGCAGAGGTTCTGGAACTTTCTAATCAATCACTAGAAGAGTCCCCATGTCACTCAGTGATTAGTTCTGGGGGCAAGAATGCGTCATTGGCAGGGCTGGATTGGCCTCTCGGAGCTGTGCCTGAGACTTGAGAGTCACCATGGAGAACCCGTGGCACCCTGTGCTACTGTCTGGAAGGGAGAGCTAGCCTGCAGGAACACATTGACCCCAGAGTCTCACTACATTCTCACAAGGAAAAGTTATCTGTGGCTATGGAAAGCCTAAGGCAGATTGGACAGTCCGCTTTCACCTTGTGGCTACACCAGCTGGAACATGTAGCTTCTAGAATCTTCTCCAGGCAGAGGAAAAGGGGGCTACAGGGTCAGTGCAGTGTGCAGAATAACAGCTCCCCAAAAAGATGTCCACGTCTTAATCCCCAGAATCTGTGAGCATGTTATGTCACGTGGCAAATTCGATGTTGCTGATATGATTCATTCCGGGGTTTTGAGATGGGGCGATTGCTCTGGGCCATCCTATTGAGCCCAGTGTCACCACAGGAGCCTTATAAGAGGGCAAAGAGAAGGCAATAGAAGAAAACAACAGATTGACAGTGGTGATCAAGGAGGGGGCTGCGAGCCAGGGCAGGCAGGCCGCCTCTGGAAGCTGACGGAGGCAGGGAAATGAGTCTGCCCTGGAGCCCCCAGGAGGAGCTGGCCCTGCCAACACTTTGCACCATAGATTCTTTCTAGACTTCTCACCTCCAGGACTCCAAGGAAGTAAATTTGCGTTGTTTTTAGTCACTGAGCTTGTGGTAATTCCTTACAGCAGCAATAGGAAACTCACAAAATGACATAGGATATTTTTAAGTGCCAAGCCTAGTGGCGACATAGATCACCTCTGCCTGCATTCCATGATCAGAGTAGTCACATGGCCCCAACCTAGCTGCAAAGGAGGCTGGGAAATGCAGTCTTCCTATGTACAGGGTGAGCACAGTGCATTGGGTCTGCCATGAAGAGGCACAGGCCAGAGGAGCCAGAGGAGGGGGATTGGCTGGGAGGAAGGCCCTCACCTGCCTCTGCTGCCTCAGAGTGCCCCGGGCCTCTCCCTTCCCAGCCAGGAGATACATGACCTCACTGAGCCCCTTGTGTCTCTCCCAGTCCACACAGATGTCCTGGGAATTGGGTGCTCTGCCTACAAAACCTCCAAGCCCCCCGACACGCCAGGCTGGAATGAAGCAGTGGCTCTGTCCTCTTGTTGCCATCCCTGTCCCTTTGCCTCTGCCCAAGTCAGGACCTGGATGACCCATTCAGAACTTCCACCTTGACACCCAAATCTCTGACTCCGTAACGTTCCCCTGGAATTCCAGACTCGGTTGTCCAACTTCCTACTGTTTTCCCCTCTCCCATTGCATTTCCAACTTCATGTGGCTGAAACCCAACTTGTGATTTTTCCCTTGCAAAACATGGTGTTTCCCCTTTTCAGGAAATGGTACCACCGTTAACCCAGCTGACCAGGTCCAACATTTAGCTGCTCTCTTCTATTTATCTCCTTCCTTCACCCCTCCACAGCCTAGCACGTGGCAGGTGCTCAACAACCATTTAGTAAATAAATGAGTAGGTGAGTGGGCACCTCCCAAGGACATGCTAAGGGCCAGGCTCTGTGCTGGGCACCCAGGCTGCAGGGGTGAGCAGGCGGTGCTCTCCACCTGGAAGGAGCTCGCAGCCCAGTGAGGGGAGAACATTTACCCAACCAACCAAGGAACCGCAAACGGCCACGGGTGCTCAGCACAGCCCCTCCCCCATGCTCGAGAGATTCATTCCTCTGAGGTCAGGATGCAACGAGGGGATCAGAGAACACGTGACATATGAGCAGAACTTTGAAAGAAAAATGGAATCTGACCAGGCAGAAGATGGAGGAGAATATTCTAGGCAGAAAGAACACGGGCAAAGGCCTACAGACCAGACAATTCAGAACATTTTTAGGGGAGAGACGAGTTGTTATATCAGTGCTTCTGACAGCCCATAAATTTACTCAACAAATATTTATTAACTGCTCACCATGGCGCGAGCCTGCAGGGTGATGGATGCTGCGCATTAAGTGGGAGCGCTGTCACATGGCTCTTGTATCGGTTATCTATTGCCACAGCGGTGCTGCATAATGAACATCCCCCAAAAGGAGTCGCTTAACACAACAGCTGTTTATTATTCCTTGTTAGGCTGTGGTCAGCGGCTGGTCTGGGCCAGGTTTGGCCTATGGAGGCTGCCCCCCCTCATCCCACCCCGTTGCATCTAAGTCAGCTGCTGAGCCAGCTGGGGTCTGGCTGGTCCAGGCGACCTTTGCTGAGATGGGTCAGGCCAGCCCCATACGGTCACTCATCCTCCAGCAGAGGAGCCTGTGAAGACAGAGGAGCCAGGGAGAGCTGGAGCACACACTCCCTCGTGGCCTTGGGGAACTTGCCCTCTGTCACTTCAACTTGATTGTTTGGGCCAGCGCAGGTCATAAGTTCAGTTCCGGTTCAAAGGGTGAAGAAATAAATGGCACTTTTTTATGAGAATAGCTTGCAAAGTCACATTGCATCATGGGTGGGTACAGCAGGAGGCAGAATGAGGGCCATTTTTTATAGTCTTCAGCAGCCCCCATTCTGAACTTGATGTCCTAGAATCTTTGATTTCCCATCTTCCATGTTCACATACTCTCACTGATATGGAGAAGCCCAAATGGCTCTTCACAGCAACTTCTCTAAACATATAACAAAAAACGGTCCATTCAATTCAGCGAATATTTGCCTCTCCACGTTTCAAAAGCTGATAGCAACACTGAAGCCGATGATTCTCCAGCCTTGAAGACTTTCAGCTGTGCATCAGTATAAACACCCAGACCAGATCGGTACGCAGCAACCACAGAGTACCGCTGGCCTACTTCCTTCTTCTCCTTCTCAACCTACTTCCTTCTTCCCCTGCTCTGTCTTCCACGAGCCTCCTGCCCTCTCCGCCGCCTGCCGGCAATCCCACCTAAGCCTCTTTCACACAATGGTTTTGACTGTTTTCTGGAAGGAATAAAAAAGGATTTGTTCCTTCTCTTTGCCTTAATAGAGGGAAGCCCATGTAGGCATGAAATTGAAATTGCTTTGTCCTATTAACATCATAGTCATTGGGCTCTACTGACCCCGAAGGTGCATTAATATCTCAGCAGCAAGTGGATAAACCACATACAGCGGCGGGGAACACACCCGAGAAAGCCAGCTGGGTACCACAGTAGACAGGGGGCTGAACTTGAGGAGTCTGTGTCCTGAGCAGGCTGGAGAGCATGCTTCATTCAACCTGGGATTGAAGGGGAGGGGCAGGGAGGGCGGCGAGAATGACTAAAACAGAGCCCAGCCTGAGAAGGGAGATGGATGCTTCATTTATTCGTCCACTGGCTTGTTCGCTCATCTGATGAACCCTGAGTACCCCTGGCCTGGCTCTATGCCAGGCAGGGAGACCGAGAGATAGGCTGGGCAGAATCTGCCATGGAAGAGCCCCAGATCCTTCTGGAATGACAGACAGAGGGAGAGAGAATGGGAACCCTATGCAACAAGCATGGAAGGAAAAGAGAAAGCACAGTGCGGTCAAGGATGGGTGAAGGCTTGTTTTACTTCAGGGCGAGGTCAAGGGAGGCTGTCAGGAGGTGGTGACGTGCAGCCGGGATCTGAAGGCTAGAAGGGGCCTCAGAGTCCACTCTGCCACCTTTACAGTTTGGCTCCTGGTCAGTTCAGATGCCTCAGCTGTCTCTTGGGCACTGGCTCAAACGCTGCCGTCGGGAGAGAGAGGACCCCATGTTCTGGTCAAGTTTGCATTGTCCCCTAGGGCCCCTCCTGGCTCAAAGGCAGATCAGCCCGAAGCATGGCAGCTGGTCTGGGCCTGACACCCAGTCCTGGTCCCCTGGGAGCCCCCACTCTGCCTACTGCTCTTCCCAGCACTGTCCCTGTCCACCATGGGTTGACACCCCACCTCCATGGTGCTCTGGCTTTGCAGAGGCCCCTCGAGCTGGCCAATGGCCCCTTGGGCCACTATGCCAGGTGCCACTGACTCTGGTGCTCAGGCGACAGGGCAGATGCAGAGAACCGCTATCCACAGCACATGGGCCCGGTGCCAGCCCAGCTCTGTCAGTGGAGCTCTTAGCGGTCTCATGCACAGCAGCTCCGTGATGGACCGCCCTTGTCTGG